GCTGGGGCTTGAGGGAGGGCACCAACACTCGCAGCGCTCACGGAGGAGATCTACCCAGGGGGCAGCGACTCCCCCTGCTGCCAGGGAGAACTCCTCTGCCCCTTGCCCTCTGTCCAGCCCAAGCTGCACTCGGCCTGCTCCCCTGTCTCCTGCTCTGCAGCCCACCAGAGACACGGGCCCACTCCTGTGTGCGATCTGGGGGCGGGTGGGGGCTGGGGCCAAGGCAAGGGGTGGCGATGGCTTCGCCCACCTAAGAGAGACACTGGGGCCCACTCCGTGTGCCATCGGCAGGCAGGTGGCTGGCGCTGGGAGCTGGGAACTTAGTGCCAGCCGCTCCCGGCGGGGTCATGGCAGAGGGGAGCTGGGACTCTGACCACCAGGCCGCCACCCCCCAGCTGGCTACTGCTGCTGCTTTGGCTGCTGGAAGCTCTGGTGCTCCTTAGGTAATTCAAGTTATGACTGCTTTATCAGGGATAATATGTATAAATGTTAGAGTAATGTAATCTTTTTTTTTTTTTTACTTCACCTAAGGATATGTTTCTATTTATTTTAGAAAGTAAGGAGGAAAAGAGAGAGAGAGAGAAAGAGAGAGAGACAGAGAGAGACAGAGAGAGAGAGAGAGAGAGAGAGAGGCAGAATTTGGCACCCCGCATCCCTCCCTGATCAACCACTGTGTGATTCAGGGCAGCTCCAGGTCCCTCATCCCCACCCCAGGCTCCAGAGCACAGTGCTGGGCAGAGGCACCCAGTGGTTCAGGAATGCAGCACAGTGAGGGGCCGGTACGAGGTTGGGGGGGGTGGGTTGTGTTTACACCACCAAGTTCCCCACTTCTGCTCTGGCCCACATCCCTCTTCCTTCCCCTCAGAGGCCCAGCTCCTGCCTACATGCTTGCTGGGCAGGCCCAACTGCACCAGAGAGTGAGCTATGGCAATCAGGATGGCCACTTCCTGGGATGGGATGGCCAAACCAAGGGGATTCATGAGGCCGATGAGGCCCATGGGGCATGCACAGCCCTCTGGCAGTGGGGGTGGCCGGCCAAGCCGATTCTGGCTACAGTGGGGCCAGTGGGAGCCCGAGGCTACCCCAACCCCGACAGGGCTTGGGCAGACGGTGGCTCAGTGGAGAGTGGTATCTCCATGCATGGTGCCCAGGGGCGGCTGTGAGCTGCTGCAACCCCACCCCACGCTTCAGGGATGGGGAGAAGGCTCGCAGTCACCAGCACCCTAGGCTGCACCGCCTGGCCTGTGCCTCAGCCTGCCAGGTTGGCAGGGTCCAGAGAAGGTGAGCTGTTCCCTTCCCCCAGTGGTAGAACAGGGAGGAGAGTGCTGGGTGCAGGGAGGAGACCTCAGCTGGGATCCTCCTGGTGTGGGCCCTGGCAGGGGCCGGTGCAGAAGTACCAGGGCACAGTTGCTTCGGTGTCTCGGTGAAGTTTGCAAATGACCCAAGGAGAAAACCCGAGAGGGGAAAAGGCCGGGAGGCATGAATTGCCAGCACTGTAGCCACTTGAAAACAGCTCCACTTGGAATGTGAGGTGATTGTATGTTCAGCTGAGAAGTGAGGGGGCTGAATTCCACCATCGCTGGGCTCCTGTCAGTCCGAGGCCCAGCGTCCACCACGACAAGGGGAGAACAGAGCGAGGGGCCCGGAGGAAGGGAGGACAATTGAAGAAAACCATGTCTAGACTTTCCCAGGCCTCTCCTTTCTGCTGCCTACAAGAGCCCCAGGCCCGGCCACAGTTCTGTCTCTACCTTTTAGTCCCCTATTCTCCAACCGCAGAGGAAAGAAATAAGGAAGGAGTCTGTGCTGCCTTCAGAAAGTATCTATATACCTCATTGGCCAGTTGCCTTCCACAGAGGGAGGCCAGACTTCGGGTTAGGCCCGCTCCTCACAGGGACATCAGTAGGACATCCTGTGAGGGCTCCCAGACTGTTAGAGGGGGCAGGCTGGGCTGAGGGATGCCCCCCAAGTGCACAAATTTTTGTGCACCGGGCCACTAGTACCAAAATAAAAGTATCTTTTATAGGGGGCAGTAAAAACACACTCAAAAATATTTTGAGCAAAAACATTTTAACTTTCAATGTAATTCTACCAACAACTATGAAGATTAACTTTTTCATCCCTAAAAGGCTAACATTAAAGACGAATCTCCACAAAATAATCCTGGAGATAATTTTGGAGGAATAGCAATATTTCACCTCAATATTCTTCCATGTTTTAAGAAAATTCTACCAAAACAAAAATATTTAAAACAGCCACGTCCTGAGAATTACATCATTTTTATTTTGTAGGAAGTAAAACAACATTATCAGAAAGCACTATGTATTTAACAGAAATGAGAGTGGAATTTTGCCTTTTAAAGGTAACATATCTCTGCCCTAACCAGTTTGGCTCAGTGGATAGAGCATCGGCCTGCAGACTGAAGGGTCCCAGGTTCGATTCCGGTCAAGGGGAAGTACCTTGGCTGCGGGCACATCCCCAATAGGGGGTGAGCAGGAGGCAGCCGATCGATGTTTCTAACTCTCTATCCCTCTCCCTCCTTCCTGTAAAAAATTAATAAAATTTATTTTAAAAAAATAAAAGTACTATATCTCATTTTCTTACACAAAAATAGCATTTTGTCCAAGCCAATTAAGTATATTATTTAAATTATAATACCGAAATCTTCCTGTAATTAGACTATGTTTTGGAACCTTTCCCCTCTATTAAAAACCATCTTACCTGTATATAGTGCAATATACTACTAAGGGATTGCAAGAAATAGATAAGTAATAATAGGTTAAAAGGAAGCAAAAAATTTCTAAGTAATAAAAACATCTTTGATAATTTTTCTATATGCTTCCAGATATCCAGATACTCATAAAAACCCACAGAATTACTGATATTGTATAGATACTAAACAATTAGATTTAAAACATGTGAAATGTAGTTTCAATTTTATGAGAAAGCTAATAGCTATAAAAAATAAAACCTAACGCAGAAAAAATACAGGTTGCAGGCCCTTCCCATTGCTAAAAATAAAAAATAAAAATAAAAAAATAGTCTTTGTAATGTGGAAACAGTATAGCAATTATGTGATGAAAGAGAGACTCAAAAATCAAATAAGGACCTTTAGAAAGAAAGAAGGTTACACAGGGACAAATTCAGGGAGAGGAAGAGGTCTGGGAAAGGACAGATAATTTTTTTTTTTTGACTTAGAGGCAAAGATTCAAGTCCCAGCTGAGATTCTTACTAAATAAAACAATCTACAAATACAAACTAAAAATAATATTCTAGTTGACCCTTGAACAACATGGGTTTAAACTACACAGAGCCACTTACAGACAGATATTTTTTTCAATAAATAAGTACAGTACTATAAATGTATTTTCAATTCCTTATGATTTTCCCAATGACATTTTATTTTGTCTAGCTTACTTTATTGTAAGAATACAGTATATAATGCATATAATGTTAAATATGTGTTAATCAACTGTTTATGCTATTGGTAAGGCTCTGAACAACATTAGAATACCAGTAGGTGAGTTTATGGGAAATCAAAAGTTATACTCATTGGTTATAAAATGGACACAGACAGTAGGAGGGTGAGGGCATGTGCTGGGGGGTGGGAGAGGTCAATGGGGAAAAAGAAGACATATGTAATACTTCAAACAATAAGAAATTTAAATTAAAAAAAAGTTATACTCAGATTTTCGACTGCGTTGTTCAGTGATAAATTCTATACAATTTATATACCAAGGACAAGTGGTCCCTTTTATAAACAACACCTTAAATATAATTTGTACTCAAACCTTTCCTTTTATTTAGCCTCTTCTATCAATGTCTGTTTAAAATATAGTGTCATGTGAATGAGAAAAAAAGAATAAGAGCTTAAGATTTAAGTAATCTAGGTACAAAATGTAGGCATAAAAAAAATCAAGAAATGTTTAGGACAGTTAAATATGGAGAGTTCAAATGACCAAGTGATTCCTATTCTGACAATTTACCCAAAGAAACTCAAAACACTGACTTGAAAGAATATATGTATCCCTATGTACATTGCAGCATTATTTAAGAGCCAAGAATTGGAAATAGCCCACAAAACCCATCAGTAGATGAGTGTATAAAAAATATCTGTGGTACATTTACACAATGGAATACTACTCTGCTGTAAAAAGGAAGAAAATGTTATCCTTTGTGACAACATTGATGAACCTAGAGAGCATTATGCTAAGTGAAATAAGCCAGTCAGTGAAAGACAAGTACCGTGTGATTTCACTCATATGTGGCATTTAATGAACAAACTAAATTGCCAAGAAAAATAGAAACAGAATCACAGAGAGCAAGCAGACAGCTCTAGTTGGAGGGAGGAGCGGGGAGAGGGACTGAAAAAAAAAAAAAAAAGAGAGAACTCACGGACATGGACAACAGTGTGGTGATTGCAGGGGTGAAGGGGGATGGATGGGTAGAGGTGGTAGAGGGCATATAGGGGATATAAGATCATAGAAAAATAAAATTTAAAAATGTATGAAAATACAGGAAAAGGGGTAATATGCCAGGTAAAAATGTTAACATTAGAATTTGAATACTATTTAATATCTGCTGCTAAGAATACAGAGTATGTTTTCTGAAGAAAATACTAAGAAAAAATGGCTAATAAAGTATACTTTTACTCACTATTTATCCCCTTTATTTCCATATGCACAAATATTCACATAAGCAGAAATTCTGTATATTTATGGACGTCAAAGATATTTCCAAAGACCAATGAAACGAAACTCATAAGGCATAGAAAGGAAAATTTGAAAACTGTTTTTTTTTCTTCTGACATTTGATTTTTATGTCTCAATTTATTTTCCATGCTGCCATTTAAAAACTTCCTGTTCCTCTCATTAAAATATACAGTTTCATTTACTTCAACTGTCTCTGTTCTGATTACAAAGTAGACAGCATTTCTATATTGCCAGACATAAATGTAAAGCTATCTAGAATATAACCTCACAGGCATTGTACTTATATAATATCAAAATGTTGTGGCACCTCATAAAACAAATGTCTGGGTAACTAAAACTTGAGTACACTAAACAAAAAAGGTATTTCTTATCAAATAACATGGGACAATGTAGAAGTAAAGCATAAATGCGTTGTTTCGTGATGCATACTTCTGCTAAAATGTAAGTTTCATATTTTATAAAAATATTTTTTAAAAATAACTTCTAAGAGTTATGGAACTTCTGACTTGGAAGCCTCTCACCTCTACCAGGCGGTCTCCTGCCTTCAGCCTCCCATCTTGGATGGCAGCCCCCCTGGGGAGGATGTTTTTCACATAAATGGGAGCTGAGCCACCTATTGTTACATCTCTGGAAGTGATGCTGAATCCCAAACCTTCTGTACCTAAATATATAGCAGAAAATGAAAGGGAAAAAAATGAGATGTGTCAAAGTTTACAAGTATATTATACATTTAAAATAATTGTTATTATTCTCTATACCAACTTAACATTTTATAACTTTCACAGTGTCTACATGTCTTCTAGTATTTTAAGAGTTGCAACAGATTTTTCAAAATAGACTAAAATCTGAAAGGTTTAAATGCTTTACATATAAAACTTCATTATTTTGAGAAAAAATTGGAATCTATCTAAAGACTGACTAAAGATAATATACATATATAGAAATATGGTTGCTAAAAGTTATTAAATTGGTCTAAACCTTTGATTATGAAAATAAACTTAATTTCTTTATGATACAAAACAAAACTTCTGTTAAAATACACAGTACCTCCAATAGCAAGTATTATTGTGGAATAATGGTATCTAGATTTGACAAGTAGGAAGTGGAGAGTAAAAGAAATGTTCAGGGAGATAAAAAAAATAAATAAATAAAGACAACTTTTTCGAGATACAGATAACAGAATCTCCCCAAACTATAATTAGTCACAGCAATTTGCCAACAGAATGAAACCCATTATAATTGCCTAGTTCTCTTCTAATTCACCTAAATCTGACCATGTACATTTGAAAAAAACAACCAATAAGGCAAAAATACCCAGTAAAGAATGATCACAGATCATAGATGGCAGGTCTGAAAATCAACATCATATTTAAAGGTGCTAAACTTAATGAGGCATTTAAAAATTACTATGCTGGCTTGTATGATTGAAATTCAAAGTCACTTGGCAGCTTTCTTGACAGGCACTCTTATAAGCTCAATACAGTGTAGAAGGTGGTTATATGTCACCAGAACCAACATGCAATAGGCAAGAATAAGCCTAGAAAAAAATGTGAAGATAAAAATTTTTTTAATGAATCCAAGAACTTTTGTAATATTTTAATAATGATTAATTTCTACTAGAAGTTTTTAAAAAGTTACTTAAGATATTAGGTTGCATTTCAGTTAAAATGATATTCGAACACATACTTGCTCATTTCAGAATGAATAAAGAGATGTGCAAAGGCGAAAAATTTATAACATTCATTCATTTGATTCAGCACTCAGTATAAAACTATGAGGAACAAAATATATTCCATAAGTAAACAAACAAATATGGGCAAATAAATATGAATGAAAAAGTGAGTTAAAGAAACATAAAGTAGAAATGAAGAAAATATCAAATAATTATACCTGCATCAAAAACTACTGTAAATATTTTCAAGTTTAAACAAAGCATTCATTTACTGCAAATCTAAAGTCACTTTAATATGGCTGGCCTATTCATTTCTTAAGTCTTCTGTGCTGAAGACTTGAAGGGCACATTGTCTATATGAAATTTTCCTAATTATTCTGATGGGACTTTTCCATATGTCTCCGTGCTGTCATGAATCTCTAATGACTTACAATAACATTTATTAAGAAAAAATTCTAAATTATTCTCCTTTTGCAATATTAATTTATATGAATTAAAAAGGCTGACAGAACCTTAATACTACTAAAATATTAGCAATAACCTCTAAATCTGTAAGCTAAAGGTTCAACCAATGACCTTTAAAAGAAAGATAAATAGATATCAATTTTCATTTAGCAAAGCCAACAAAATATTTTGCGCTGACTGAAACAGATTACTGATCTTCCCTTCTGACTTTATTAAAAAGCTAATTTCTACAAAAGGGCAGGGTATTTGAGAATGCCAAAATGGCAATAAATATTAAGAAATCATAATTATGGAAGCAAGTACATAGGGGCTACTCTATTTTATGATATTATATGGCATAGTTCCAAAATTATGACAAAGAATTATAATGAAGGCTTCTTTTTTTAAGTACTTAAAACTGATCTCGGTTTATGAAGAGCTTCTGTCAGAGCATGTCAGGTCACTTAGAAGTGAATTTAAAGTTTAACACTGACACACCCTAAGTCTTTTATGTACTTCTTTAAAACGTTAAATGTGCCCTAGCTGGTTTGTCCCAGTGGATAGAGTGTCCCACTATGGACCGAAGGTTCCCGGGTTCAATTCTGGTAAAGGGCACTTACTTGGGTTGGGAGCTCCTCCCCAGCAAGGGCCCTGGTCAGGGCGCGTGCAGGAGGCAACCAATCAATGTGTTTCTCCCACGTAGATATTTCTCTCTGTCTTTCCCTGTCTCTTGCACTCTCTCTAAAAATCAATGGAAAATATCTTCCAGGGAGGATTAAAAAATAAATAAATTAATTAAAATGTTAAATGTAACATAGGTGGTAAAAAACATCTATTAACTACAATGAAAGCTTGTTCAACTCTCATGAAATTATTATTTAACTAGATGTATTTAGTATTAATCAAAGACAATCAGCATTCTTCACTGTTATTCACAGTAAACTATTTTTATGTAAAATATTCGTAAGTATTGGCAGGAAGCCACAGGCAGTTTCAACATTTTATCATGGATTCTCACAGCAAATTAAAATCATGGTAGATCTATAAAGCTCTGTAATATTTAGATTACTCAAGATCAGCAAAATATTTAAAAGAAAATCATTGTTTCTATTTTTCTTATGTTGATTGAGCACATTCTTTGTAAATTAGCTTGTATAAAATGTAATCATAGCTTTTAAAATGCTATTAAAATAAAAGTTTATTCAAAAAATGATTTTATTTACAAAGTTCATATATCATGAATTGCTAAAATATAAGAATTGTATCAAAAACTGTAATTACCTAAGTAAATATGCCTGTATCAGTGTAAAAAGGTAAAGATATTTGTGAACTAATAGCTATATGACAATGACCAGGTAAAATGTTTATCCTTTGTTGAGAGATCCCAAGCAGAATTTTATCTTTTTTACAACTCTATTTGTGTTTCTTTTTTTTAAAATATATTTTATTGATTTTTTTACAGAAGGAAGGGAGAGGGATAGAGAGTTAGAAACATCAACGAGAGGAGAGAGAAACATCGATCAGCTGCCTCTTGCACACCTCCTACTGCAGATGTGCCCGCAACCAAGGTACATGCCCTTGACCAGAATCGAACCTGGGACCCTTCAGTCTGCTGGCCGACGCTCTATCCACTGAGCCAAACCGGTTAGGGCTGTTTCTTGATGTTTTTGCTTAAAAATTAGGGCCTGTCATTTTAGTAGAGCAACAGGAAGAAAGAGGATCTGCCATTTCTCATTGAGGAATTAATAGAGCTTAGAGGGGTTTATGCTGATATGATTCTGTGTTTGTAATGGGTTTCAAAAGTGGAGTAAAGCTCTCAGTTCCTAATCATGTCAACTAAGTAGTTAAAGCTTAAAAGTCAATAACCAGAAATAAGAAATCTGTGGTTCACATAAACCTCAATGAAAGAAAATGACTTAGAAAGTAACGAGGATTCTCAGAGCTTACAAGCTTGTAAACCTTACCCCACACAGAAAGAAAAATTGTCTAAATGTCAAGATATGGAATGTTCTAGTAGGAAACTAATGCCAGCAGCAGGCAGGTGATGTGAGGTAATCGCTCAACTTTCTGTGGGGTTCATTTCCATCTAACTACAGGAATTGGTTGGGCTCATAAAAAGAAAAATATTCTATATAAATAAAAGGCTAATATGCAACGTGTCCCCTCGAGAGTTCAACCAGGAGTTCAATCGCTCACTATGCTGACCACCAGGGGGCAGTGCAGAATGAAGGAAGTCCCCAGCTGACAACCAGCAGCTGGCAGCTGGGGAAGGGAGGCCCTGGCTGGCAGCCAGAAGGCCCCAATTGGCCCTGATTGCCAGCCAGGCCTAGAGACCCTACCCGTGAACGATTTTCATGCACCGGGCCTCTAGTTCTTACAATAACACCATTTTGAAAGACAATTTAAAAACATATCAAAATGATCAGCTAAAATTGATCAGTGATAGCAAAAGTATATCTCAATGCCTGGAGAGGACAGCAATTAGTAATCAGAAATTCTAGCATATGCTTTAAGTCATGGATCCTGTACACAAGGATCCATAGTCTATAGGACAGGGATACTTAAAGAAATAAGTTGATATAAGGTATATGTAATAAAGAATTAGCAAGGCCCATTATAATCCTCCTGTCTCCTTAAGAAACAAAAGCAGTATAATATCCTGGAAAATTGGACTAGTTTCTCTTCATTCTACTGCAAGCCATTAAACAGTGTCAGAGGAATCAATTCACTTCCAATAACTAAAATGGTAGCATTGAAATGGGAGGACCTTTCTAAAGTCCTCATCAAGTGGGATGATCAAAACAGTCAAATCTTCACTACTGTTTTGGGTTTGAATGTAACATCCTGAAATCATTTTCCTTCATTGTTAAAAATTTTACTGCAATAGTAACTGCTACCTTCATATGAAACTTATTTTTTAAAACCTTATTCTCTGATCATTTCAATTTTTATATAACCAAATTCATCTGAAAAGAATAAAAATACATTGTAAATACCTTTTAAAAAATCATTAAATTACTTCTTTCACATAATGGAATAAAACATAGGGTGTTTTGGGTTAATCAGTTTAGTTTTAGAATAAATTCCATCAAACAAAAACAAGGTTTGTACCTTTCTTAAGCTGGATATTCAGCCTCTTGCCTATTTTTTTGGTGTTATAACCACTGCTTACACTTGTTCCAAATACACATTGTGGTGCTGGGGCTGGAGCTGCTGGTGGCTTTCCAGAGGGCTGTGTACTCTGAGGTAGTCGTGGGTGTGAGTCCATCTGTTCGGCCTGGTGGGTCAGTCTGGGTACTCTCTGTTGTGCCTGAAGCCCTGCACTGTTCACACTCCTATTATCAATATACTGGCTATCAGGGCTGAAGCGGCCTGAATAGTCATTGTTCTTCTCACTTTGGGAGAGTTGTTCATATTGCTCTTTATTTGCCGCAGGAACCACATGGAACCAAATGATGGGTGTACGCATGGCCTGTCGAAACATATGCTGTGCTCTGGGTTTGAGAATGAATGGAAAATTAGCAAATTAAGACTTGCAAACTAGAAGATATTATGAGCTTAATTAAGTATACAAATTAAGCAATAAGAAATGATACACTTTGTTGAGACTGAAAACCGAAATTCTGATATCCCATTCATCAATCATGTTTGCAAGCTCTGATAGCATAACTGTTTCTCCAAACTTAAATTTCTCATTCTCTAAATAAAAAGGAGAAAATTATCATAACTACAGATAAAATACTGTGCTCTAAACTATAAATCATTAAATAATAGTTTAAAGTACAATGGAGGTATTATAATTTCAATATTAATAGAAATTAAATACAACCTCCTCTCTACAACCTCCAATACCACTTTAAAAAAATTATAGCCCAGCTGGTATTGCTCAGTGGTTGTGGGTCGACCTATGAACCAGGAAAAAAATTTATAAATTATTTTCTTACAGGGAACCATTTGAGGTTTTAAAGAAATGTACTTAGAAATATACTTACAAAACAATAAAAAGCACATTATGTATCAGCAAAATTAATTCAAGTCCGTGTGTACAAAAATCCTAAGAACAATACAGCCTCAATGACTCAGAATGTTAGGAGTCACTGGCCCAGTGCTACTCCATGACCAGTTCGGGAATTGCACTGCCTCATACTGATTGCCCAGTCCTTATTTCTGCTCACTCTTGCCTTATTTTATAAAAACTGAACAACTTTATTTTTGTATTTGAAAAAAGGACACATGAATCAAGATAAAGAAAATCTGGACAAACCATTCACTGTGGTTCAAAGGAGCTTTGCTTATTTGTCCTGAGAAACATTATATGAGACAAAGTTGGACATGTGAGTTACAGTATAAAACAAACTGGTATGCTGGTAAATTTTCCAAAAGGTGAGAGTAGCAAAACTGTAAAGCCTAAATTGGGGCCATAATATTTTAAGAAGCACTCTACCAGTCAGAGGGCATTTTACATTTTTTAAATATATTTTTATTGATTTCAGAGAAGAAGGGAGAGGAAGAGAGAGAGAGAAACATCAATAATAAGAGAGAATCACCACTTGGCTGCCTCCTGCACGCCCCCGACTGGGGAAGACGCCCACACCCAGGCATGTGCCCGTGATCTGAATCAAACCTGGGACCCTTCAGTCTGCAGGCCAATGTTCTACCCACTGAGCCAAACTGCCAGGGCCAGAGGACATTTTAAAATACAGTCTGATGGTAGTAATTAGCTCCAATTTAATTAAGTGTTTAAAAGCAACATAAACCAGAAAATACTACTCTCTAGTATAAAGACAGAGATCCCAGATTTGGTGTGGAAAGCATTTTGATGACTGCACTCCATCATGCCTAAAACACGGAAGCACAGCAGTGTCTCCAGCACACACTTACTGTTCAAATCTTCTGTTTCGAAGGTCGCCATCATTAATCCTGACAATGCAATCATTCTCATGAAAAAGGTTTTCTTGTTCAGCTTTACCACCTTTCTCCAATCGTTTTACTAATAACCCCAGGGTTCTGGAACATTAAGAATGCAAATCATTACACACGTAATATTTTGACCATGTACAATGTCCCACTGCTTTAATGCTGGTATTATATTTATAGAGACTTCCTAATAAAGGGGCATATTAAATTGCTATTTTAAAACAACACTGCAGAAAAAGTAAAACAGTATAAATGATGTGTAAAAAGGAATAATTTCAAAAAATATAACAAAACATTTCTGTTTTGTTAGTATTGTGTTTCTGGAACAAACTATATACCAATACTTCTCTCTATGCTTAAAAATGCTTCAAACAGAGCTAGCCTGATGGCTCAGTGGATAAGGCAGTGTGGATCATGGATGAGCATGCATTTGTGCATAGGTTTGTCAGTTTTCTGTTTTCCGCCACCTGGTATACTGCTAATGGCAACCTCCATCATACCATGAAAGTAAAGGTAGGGAGGAAAGACTACCTGAGCACATAGTACATTTGAGAAGCAAAATAGGAAAGAATTAAAAATAGAAGACATTCCATCCTGGCATCTGAATTTGATCTGACCTAATATTCTGAATTTTAAAACTTGTTAAATCTCCCTAAAGTAACTTGTTGCCATTATTCCCATTTGAAGAAAACCAGTAACAGGTTCAAATAATGCCACACACTCATCTCTTCAATATATACTCAAACTTCAGGTTGAAAGAAAAGCCTGAATAAACTTTTAGAGACCAATCTAAAGGGGAAATAGTAAAAATTACTGGTGTACATGGCCTAGAACAGTAACATTTGACTGACAAGGAAGGACAGTATTCACTCCCCAGAGCAAACAGCAGAACTTTATAGGATCACAGAATAAGGTGACCTAATATTTACTTAGTTCTAATGCTGTGACTTACTTGATGGTTAGCATAAATTCTGTATCACAATCATGTTAACATTTTTAAGAACTTATTTTTGGCCTGTCCAAAGTTTGTGTTTTCTTTCATAATCATAACATTTTGAGAAAAAATGCCCATATTGATAATACAATTTAGAATCCTGCATAAATTAAAGTTGAAGACACCATCATTCCCAATAGCACACACATATATATATATAATATATATAATATATATATGTTTTTTTCCAATAGCATACAATTTGTAGTATCCTACATATCTTTCCAGTAGACCTATTCCCAAATAGTTTATTTTTTTACTGTAAGTGCTATTATCTGTACTGTGGCCATTCATCTTACTTCTCTGTTATTGGTACTGATTGACACACTTTCTTTCTATAAGCTCCTAGAAGATGGAGAAGATGGGATTCAATAATATAAGCTCAAGCACTTAGCTAGTAGTAAATGATAAGTGACTGGAATGAATGGGTGACTGAGTGAAGCTGAGACAAACAAGTTTCATATTTCTAATTAGCTTTTTGCAAAATAAAATACAAGTGAAATGAAACGGAAACTCAGATCCTTTCTTTCATGAAGGTATCATTTATACCAAATATATAATTGAACTGAAATAAATTAAATTGCAGCAAAGGCCCTTTTTCAATTATTTTGCCATTTAATCTTGTTTCTTTCATGAACATTTACAGTCATCATTTAACTTCATTCTAATTTTTATTATTAAATATAGTAAAGAAGCAATGTGTTTTACTAGGCCAAGTCTATCAACTAGCAAGAATAACAAGAGGAGATAACATTTAAATTGCCTATTGCAATTTTACCATTTGAGGATTAGCATCTACTAGTGTAAGAGTCTAAAAATCTAGTAGTGAGTGATGTAAGTAATTTTTAGTTGCTTACTACCATATATTGGAAATAAATCAACATAAAAATTCCATGAATTCAAGGTAAGAATAAAGTATACTGGTATAGCTGCATGCGCAACTTAACAGTCTTAGTCTGTATTTGGAAGAAAAGAGATTTCATAATATGCCACACCAATGAGGAAGTTATTGTTAAAATATCATCATACCCACAGTCTACCTCCCTATGCTTCTCTATTATTTAAGTTGTTTCTATGTCCAATGGAACAGTATTCTAGAAGAGGAGTCAAGATAGCTCTATGATTCCGTTGAATGGGACAAAATAATTTGAGAAATCATATTAAATCTCAGTTACTGATAATAGTGGAACAGGTAAAAGACATTTAGCTACTTTACCATCAAAGGAAAAGGTGACTCAACCATACACAGACCATCTTGACATAATCGCAAATGTGGTGCCACACCTGCTGCTACAAGCTGCTTCTACAGACTGAGACTACTTAAAAAAAATACAGCAGTGGCCAGGGGGCTCACTTGGTTGAACTGTTGTCCCATAAGGTTGCAGGGTCCATTCCTAGTCAGGACATAAACCCAGGATGCAGGTTCGATCCAAGGACAGGGAACATGCAGGAGGCAACTGACTGATGTTTCTCTCACATCAATGTTTATCCCTCTCACTCTCTCTCCCTTCCTTTCTCCCTAAATATCAATAAAAACATATCCTCAGCTGAGGATTAAAAAACAAAACAAAACAGAAAACAAAACAAAACATGGTTTCTGCAGTAAAAATACAGGCTACCAAGAGTCGCTCCATTAGTTTTTAATTGGTGAAATCATAATTACAGCATTTCTTCAGCCTAAACTGAGTAATAATGTTTTCATATATTCTAAAATAGTTTGTGTATTTTAAAAGATTCTACAGAATATTTTTAGAAAAAAAATAGACGTTTAACAAATTACTTAGCAGTTAACTAACACTGATAATTTGTGTTTATAAATTTATCTCTAATAGTATTAATTCAATATTTATGACAGTTTAAAATAATATAACTTGGAAATCTATAATTTAACTCTATAGGTAGCATCAATACTTTTCAGATGAACAGGTGTATGGATTTATATTCATTTAAATAATTATTTTTCTTTTAAAATTTACTTTTTGTTTCTGGGAATCACTCTAGATGATAATCTAAAGTTAAAAGGCATGGCATTCTTCATTTACGGCCAAATGCATCAATAATCCTAAAAAGGGCGAGGGCTACGCCCTCCATCTTACCCTGGATCCTCCATTTTTGGCAGCAGCCTTAGCCATGTGCTCAGCAAGGAGCTTCTTCCCAGAAGCCTAAGCCTCTGTTAGCCACACCCAGGATTTCTTTAAACTAACGAATGACAATCAAGGGACGTGCGCGCCATAGATATGACCGCATCCTGTGTAACAAGACACCGACTTGCGCCCGGCCAATCGGCAGGGCCCACAGTCCTCTCTCCTCCCCTTTACTCAAACCCTCCTATTAAACCCCTCTTCCCACAGGGGCTCGGGGCGCTCTCTCGGCCGCTTGCCACTGCGTCGGCGAGTGTGGCTGACAGGGAGCCCAAGCTAGCTTGAATAAAGACTCTCTGCTTTTGCATCGGACTGGGCTGGCTCCCTGGTGGTCTATTGGGGATCCTGAAATCTGGGCATAACAGTCCTAACAGAAATTAAAAAATAAACCACAAAGAACAAAACTACAAATAATAAATAAACTACCACACTTACATAAAATATAACTGAGGTTTACTAAATGAGGCTTTAAAATTCAACTTTGTTAAAATAGTCACAAAATATCAGAATCCTATTTCTCAGCAGATAAGAGATAAGAGAAAGGATGGGTGGGGGTAGTCAACAGAGGAAGATTTTCACTCTGAGTGACATGGCAAGTAATCAGGGAATGAAAGAACAGACTGAAAAAAGAAGTTAGTAGCCTGCTGACTTCTAAGTACTTGACCACACTATTAGAATCATTCTCTCAAAAAGAATGGATTCACTTAAAAGTAAAGTAGCACAAATCTGCAAAAATTATCTCATTAGCTTCACTAGGTGAAAATGGTTACAAAACAATGGGAATGAACTATCAAAAAAACTTCACAAGAAAATTAAACTGATAACGTAACAGCTAGACTGAGAATGAAAAGTACCCTCTGAAGGGAAATCAACAAGAAGTAATAACAGATGCTTCCATCTTCCTGAAAATTTGTGTGTGCAAGCAGGTATATTTCTATTCCTCCCACATTCAATCTAAAGGTATCTCAAGTAGTATATATAATTAAAAACAATTAAAGTATATATTTTGCTAATTCAACCAGGAACTAGAACTTGACCTGAAGTAATAAAGAATTGACTACCTCTGGTATTGTGGTCCCTGTAACACTTTCAGTAAAGAAAATAACTGAAGGTAATAAACTTCAAAACATTTTGGCATCTCAATATGCTGGAACAGAGAATAGTTTTTACCTTGGCAATTACCAGGATTCCTCATTAGGAGCAACCATTTCCCATTAGGAGCAACCATTTCCATAAGAAGAAACCACTTTGCAAAAAAATAAGAGACAGACAGAGAGGGAAATGAGGAACTGGTCAAACTTTGTTTGGGGGAAATAGTCCAGGAACAGAAACAACCACCCAGATGGAAAGAAGACTCAGTGTACTGGTTACTGGAACAGCAGAACTATGAAGATGTGGCCACAGGGTTCCAGGGTATGTGATACAAAACCTCCTTGACCTCCCATGTGAATCTAATGTAAACCCAACATGGCACATGCTTTTTGAGCAAATAAATATTTTTTTCTTATAAATGTGAAACATCCAGAAACACACCTCTCTTCTACTGTTTCTTATACCTTATTCAAAATTGGTGTATGTGTGTGTGTTGGGGGAGCTAGGGGGGTAGAGACCGAGGGGAGAAAATACTACATCCACTGTGTGTGTGTGTGCGTGTGTGTGTGTGTGTGTGTGTCAGGGGGAATATTACCGTATTTGCCGGCGTATAAGACGATTTTTTGGCCCTGAAAAATATGCCTCCAAGTGGGGGGTCGTCTTATACGCCAGGTACACTTCAGATACACTGCCCATAGTGCTTGCCCCGTGCCATAGTGGCCTTCCGATGCCCGCCCACTTCATTCCACATACCGTTCAGGCATCAGCAACGCTGCTGGGTGTATGCTCGGCTGTTATGCGATTTTGCTGTTATGCGATTTTACCACACTCGCAAAATCGCACACAGCCGACCATAACCCCAG